GTAGTGGTCCGTACCAAACTAGGGGCACAAAACATTCCTTGTCCTCGATTTTTTCACCCCGAGCTACCGAATTATAGTGAATCGCACAAAAAGTGTACTCTTCGCTTCCTACCCCCTTTCGAAACTCGTCTTCTCCTCAAAAAAAAAAAAAAAAAAAAAAAAAAAAAAAAAAAAAAAAAAAAAAAAAAAAAAAAAAAAAAAAAAAAAAAAAAAAAAAAAAAAAAAAAAAAAAAAAAAAAAAAAAAAAAAAAAAAAAAAAAAAAAAAAAAAAAAAAAAAAAAAAAAAAAAAAAAAAAAAAAAAAAAAAAAAAAAAAAAAAAAAAAAAAAAAAAAAAAAAAAAAAAAAAAAAAAAAAAAAAAAAAAAAAAAAAAAAAAAAAAAAAAAAAAAAAAAAAAAAAAAAAAAAAAAAAAAAAAAAAAAAAAAAAAAAAAAAAAAAAAAAAAAAAAAAAAAAAAAAAAAAAAAAAAAAAAAAAAAAAAAAAAAAAAAAAAAAAAAAAAAAAAAAAAAAAAAAAAAAAAAAAAAAAAAAAAAAAAAAAAAAAAAAAAAAAAAAAAAAAAAAAAAAAAAAAAAAAAAAAAAAAAAAAAAAAAAAAAAAAAAAAAAAAAAAAAAAAAAAAAAAAAAAAAAAAAAAAAAAAAAAAAAAAAAAAAAAAAAAAAAAAAAAAAAAAAAAAAAAAAAAAAAAAAAAAAAAAAAAAAAAAAAAAAAAAAAAAAAAAAAAAAAAAAAAAAAAAAAAAAAAAAAAAAAAAAAAAAAAAAAAAAAAAAAAAAAAAAAAAAAAAAAAAAAAAAAAAAAAAAAAAAAAAAAAAAAAAAAAAAAAAAAAAAAAAAAAAAAAAAAAAAAAAAAAAAAAAAAAAAAAAAAAAAAAAAAAAAAAAAAAAAAAAAAAAAAAAAAAAAAAAAAAAAAAAAAAAAAAAAAAAAAAAAAAAAAAAAAAAAAAAAAAAAAAAAAAAAAAAAAAAAAAAAAAAAAAAAAAAAAAAAAAAAAAAAAAAAAAAAAAAANTTTCGCGTTAATTGTAATTAACATCAAATAAAATTAATCCATTTCGCGTTAATTGTAATTAACATCAAATAAAATTAATCCATTTCGCGTTAATTGTAATTAACATCAAATAAAATTAATCCATTTCGCGTTAATTGTAATTAACATCAAATAAAATTAATCCATTTCGCGTTAATTGTAATTAACATCAAATAAAATTAATCCATTTCGCGTTAATTGTAATTAACATCAAATAAAATTAATCCATTTCGCGTTAATTGTAATTAACATCAAATAAAATTAATCCATTTCGCGTTAATTGTAATTAACATCAAATAAAATTAATCCATTTCGCGTTAATTGTAATTAACATCAAATAAAATTAATCCATTTCGCGTTAATTGTAATTAACATCAAATAAAATTAATCCATTTCGCGTTAATTGTAATTAACATCAAATAAAATTAATCCATTTCGCGTTAATTGTAATTAACATCAAATAAAATTAATCCATTTCGCGTTAATTGTAATTAACATCAAATAAAATTAATCCATTTCGCGTTAATTGTAATTAACATCAAATAAAATTAATCCATTTCGCGTTAATTGTAATTAACATCAAATAAAATTAATCCATTTCGCGTTAATTGTAATTAACATCAAATAAAATTAATCCATTTCGCGTTAATTGTAATTAACATCAAATAAAATTAATCCATTTCGCGTTAATTGTAATTAACATCAAATAAAATTAATCCATTTCGCGTTAATTGTAATTAACATCAAATAAAATTAATCCATTTCGCGTTAATTGTAATTAACATCAAATAAAATTAATCCATTTCGCGTTAATTGTAATTAACATCAAATAAAATTAATCCATTTCGCGTTAATTGTAATTAACATCAAATAAAATTAATCCATTTCGCGTTAATTGTAATTAACATCAAATAAAATTAATCCATTTCGCGTTAATTGTAATTAACATCAAATAAAATTAATCCATTTCGCGTTAATTGTAATTAACATCAAATAAAATTAATCCATTTCGCGTTAATTGTAATTAACATCAAATAAAATTAATCCATTTCGCGTTAATTGTAATTAACATCAAATAAAATTAATCCATTTCGCGTTAATTGTAATTAACATTAAATAAAATTAATCCATTTCGCGTTAATTGTAATTAACATTAAATAAAATTAATCCATTTCGCGTTAATTGTAATTAACATCAAATAAAATTAATCCATTTCGCGTTAATCTTAATTAAATATAAATTAATCATGAAATGGATTTTTTTGTTTAATTATGATTAAAACGGAATAGATTTAATAATAATTTTAATATAAATTAAATCTATTTTAAAGTGAAAAATATCCATTTCGCTTTTTGAAAATTATTTTTCTACGAAATTAATGTAAAGAGGCATATTTTAATTATTTAATTAAAATATGCTTCAGGCATAATATATAACGTTTCTAAAGGCATACATTTTACTATATTTTATAGATTTTCTTTTTTTTACATTTTTAGATAGAAATTGCTATAAATAATGTTTTTAAATGTTAGATACTGCATTTAAATGTAGTAATTTATTACTATACTAAAATTATAAAATAAGAAAAACTATTTTTAGGTCTCCTAAGCCTATAGGCTTTATATAGTTTATAAATATAACAGTTTTATGCAAATAAGGCCAAACTTACGCGTAAATTAAACAGCCTACGGCATAGTAGGGCCCTTACACTTTCAAATTTATTACGATTTGATGGAGAGGAAATGGCTTCTTCTTTATAGAACTAGGGCCACAATAAGTTTAAATCTGGTGTTTTAGATACTCAGAGTTTGTAAGTAAGGCCTACCACAAAGGCCTGATAAACTTAAAAATGTAAGTTTTATGCAAATAATTACTTGAGATCAGAATAATATTTTTACAACGAAGATTATCACGCTACGAGCCTACAGTTTAAGGCCTTACACTTTCAAATTTATCATCGGTTAGTAGAGAGGGAAGGGCCTCTTAAATCCCATATATTAGGCTTACAATCAATCTTAATCTGGTCCTATAGACACAGTTTGTTAAGTAAGGCCTATTACAAAGCGTGTAAAATCTACGTGTAATGCCTCGGATGTAGTATATTAAATAATGCCTACTTTGAGGGTCTACCTATAGGCGTCTAATCAATTTAAATTTAAAAAATTTCGGTCGAAAGGAGAAGAAAAACAGTGAAAAAATCCCGACTCCGCTTCCTGTCGTATTCAATTCTGACCCCAATTTTCGATGTTTGTTTCCGGAACTCCGTGCTTAAACTAAGGAACCACTCAAAATAAACATAACACAAGTATATATAAACGGGTGCAGGAGGGATTCAGCTACATCCCTTTTAGAAGTTCATGTTTTTGTGGCATATGTCTACCGTCATAAAATGTAACTCTACCTCTCTTACTCGGGACGAATAACATTAGCAGAGGGGATAAACGGTCCGGAAAGATGTAGAAGATACAGCATTATCTACCATAGTTTAGCATAATTATCTTCAAAAATATAAACATAATTACGTTCCTGTAAATACTATCTCATCGACAGTAGCAATAGACATAACAGGGGCTTCATCAACACGCTTATATTTAGTCCAGTTTATTAAAGAAATATGCCAAAAATCTTACCTGAAAGTAATATTTTAAGGTTCTTACGTATTTTAGGGCCTTCTATAATTAATAAAGTAATAATTTTAAAGTCATTTTATAAGGTTTTTATCCTTATAAATGTTTGTGATATTAACTAAACTATGGTAGGTTCTTCTGTCTNAACCTCGATATAACGAGGGCCATTGTGCTGGCTTTATCGAGACGTTCGAAAATCGAACCGGCGTAAAGTTCGGATATAACGACACATATCACTCTAGCTAATCCGTCTTCATTATAAAAGACCCCCTAATTGTCAAAAGGAGAAGTGGAGTCGATAATTAATGTGGTGTTTTGACATACTGCCTTTTGCTGTCGTTTTCTAGGGCACCCGACCAAAGTGGTCCTCTTACACAGAGCACATTTGTCAAAGAACCAGACTAAACTCGAATTAGTTATAAGTTTCACCCCTCGTTTTTTTCTTAATCCCCCCCGAGTGACATCTAAAAAAAAAATCTCGTAAAAAAATAGGCGCATTTAATTATCACGTTTCCACAAATTGCAACGATGCTAAACCATGTTCTAAATTGGAAAAAATAACATTTAACACGGTTATGTCAATAGAGATCGGTAGAAAGTGGTGTTAAATATCGAATTTGACATCAACAAACTGAAAGGAAACGAAAAGTCGTGACAAACCGAGACGTGATGGCTTGTTTGTGTTTTACTTCGACGTGAGCTACAAGGAAATTCAAGTTACAACGGTCGCTTTTACTTTCATCCAACTCGGAAAGCACGTCTGTATGTCAGAGAAGAAGGCCTTTTTAGATACAAGAACCTCTTTTCGAGGAACGACTTAAACTTTTAAATTTATCTCGATTAAAGAAAAAAAATATATATAAAATAAAATAAAATAAACAACATTAAAAAAAATACAAAAATTTAAATCATTAGCTCGACTATTGTTCTAAGAAAACACACACACACACAATTAACAGGGAAAGTTTAAACGTCTAAAAAGTCTCGAGAAATAAATCTTAACCAATTACAAAATCGTCTAGACGTCGTTATAAACGGGTTCTTTTTTAAATACGTTTTATAAAAATTAACATTCTCCCACGTGGGGATGTTTATATAAAAACATCCCCCTTATAAAATTCAAATATTACATTTAAATTTTTTTTACGAAAATTGTCTAAGATATACGTGAAATAACAGCTTGCACGTTGTAAAATTTAATTTTTATTCTAAAAAAAAATCAGAGGAATCGTTTTATACACTTCAACTTTATTGATTTTTCATATATTTTATAAGTAGCAGCAACAGTTTCTGTTTTATTATAGCCATTTATATCAACATCATTAACCTAAAAATGAATTTTTTTTGAAGGAGAACAAGAAGAGAAGAGAAAAGAGAAAATAAAACGAACGATTGTGGCATTTTCCCGTTAAGTCGAACATCAAAAAAAACCAAAAAAAATAAATAAAATAAAATAAAATAACCCAACAACTCGAAAATGATTCGAAAAATACATTTCTCACTAAAATAAATGGAATAAAAAATAAATTTTTAGAAGAAGAAGCGAAAAAAATTAATGTTTTCGTCACAGTTTCTACGTAGAAAATAAATAATACATTCAGCATCAAAATATTGTTTTCTTTTTTTTTCAAAGAAAAAAAAATTATATAATAAAGATAAAGTAATATTTTTTCTCATCCATCACTTTTATTTCTTTGTTTTCTTTCTTCCATTTTCAGTCCGGTCACGATTTTTTTTTATACATTTTTTTCTCTCTAAAAAAATACACAAGAACACGTGTCAAGTTTAAACCTTTCAATATAAGGTTTTAAACTGTCACGTTTGTGATTTAATTTATTTATTTCTTTTAAAAAATTCCGGCAAAAAACAATAATTTAATTGCTTTTATTCATTTTTAAAAACGTTAATCGATTTTAGCTAATCGAAATGAATCGATTTCAATTTTTTTTTTGAAATAGAAATTAATCGATTTCACTTAAACAGCTGATGAAAAATAATCGATTTCAACTTTTTTTAAAATAAAAGTTAATCCATTTCGCGTTAATTGTAATTAACATTAAATAAAATTAATCCATTTCGCGTTAATTGTAATTAACATCAAATAAAATTAATCCATTTCGCGTTAATTTTAATTAAATATAAATTAATCATGAAATGGATTTTTTTGTTTAATTATGATTAAAACGGAATAGATTTAATAATAATTTTAATATAAATTAAATCTATTTTAAAGTGAAAAATATCCATTTCGCTTTTTGAAAATTATTTTTCTACGAAATTAATGTAAAGAGGCATATTTTAATTATTTAATTAAAATATGCTTCAGGCATAATATATAACGTTTCTAAAGGCATACATTTTACTATATTTTATAGATTTTCTTTTTTTTACATTTTTAGATAGAAATTGCTATAAATAATGTTTTTAAATGTTAGATACTGCATTTAAATGTAGTAATTTATTACTATACTAAAATTATAAAATAAGAAAAACTATTTTTAGGTCTCCTAAGCCTATAGGCTTTATATAGTTTATAAATATAACAGTTTTATGCAAATAAGGCCAAACTTACGCGTAAATTAAACAGCCTACGGCATAGTAGGGCCCTTACACTTTCAAATTTATTACGATTTGATGGAGAGGAAATGGCTTCTTCTTTATAGAACTAGGGCCACAATAAGTTTAAATCTGGTGTTTTAGATACTCAGAGTTTGTAAGTAAGGCCTACCACAAAGGCCTGATAAACTTAAAAATGTAAGTTTTATGCAAATAATTACTTGAGATCAGAATAATATTTTTACAACGAAGATTATCACGCTACGAGCCTACAGTTTAAGGCCTTACACTTTCAAATTTATCATCGGTTAGTAGAGAGGGAAGGGCCTCTTAAATCCCATATATTAGGCTTACAATCAATCTTAATCTGGTCCTATAGACACAGTTTGTTAAGTAAGGCCTATTACAAAGAGTGTAAAATCTACGTGTAATGCCTCGGATGTAGTATATTAAATAATGCCTACTTTGAGGGTCTACCTATAGGCGTCTAATCAATTTAAATTTAAAAAATTTCGGTCGAAAGGAGAAGAAAAACAGTGAAAAAATCCCGACTCCGCTTCCTGTCGTATTCAATTCTGACCCCAATTTTCGATGTTTGTTTCCGGAACTCCGTGCTTAAACTAAGGAACCACTCAAAATAAACATAACACAAGTATATATAAACGGGTGCAGGAGGGATTCAGCTACATCCCTTTTAGAAGTTCATGTTTTTGTGGCATATGTCTACCGTCATAAAATGTAACTCTACCTCTCTTACTCGGGACGAATAACATTAGCAGAGGGGATAAACGGTCCGGAAAGATGTAGAAGATACAGCATTATCTACCATAGTTTAGCATAATTATCTTCAAAAATATAAACATAATTACGTTCCTGTAAATACTATCTCATCGACAGTAGCAATAGACATAACAGGGGCTTCATCAACACGCTTATATTTAGTCCAGTTTATTAAAGAAATATGCCAAAAATCTTACCTGAAAGTAATATTTTAAGGTTCTTACGTATTTTAGGGCCTTCTATAATTAATAAAGTAATAATTTTAAAGTCATTTTATAAGGTTTTTATCCTTATAAATGTTTGTGATATTAACTAAACTATGGTAGGTTCTTCTGTCTGCTTCTCGCTTTGTTAATATATATAAATGAATTTGAGAAGGCAAAAACTGGGCCTATAATATGTCCGCATTATCTGGATAGGGTTATGCCAAAAATCTTACCTGAAAGTAATATTTTAAGGTTCTTACGTATTTTAGGGCCTTCTATAATTAATAAAGTAATAATTTTAAAGTCATTTTATAAGGTTTTTATCCTTATAAATGTTTGTGATATTAACTAAACTATGGTAGGTTCTTCTGTCTGCTTCTCGCTTTGTTAATATATATAAATGAATTTGAGAAGGCAAAAACTGGGCCTATAATATGTCCGCATTATCTGGATAGGGTTATATTTCTTAATTTAAATATAATAAAATAATATTAATTTCATAATTGTCTTTAAATTAGAATTTATTTCGCTTACCAATCTTTCAGTTACTTTAAATTGATACTACAGCTCTTGCACTGCATACAAACTTTAATTTAGGACATTTATAAGCAGAAGGATATTTAGGGCCTCATATAAGCCTGTATATAAATAAAAGGCTCTAAATAGCTTTATATATAAGACTTTAACAGGCTGAAATATAGGAATAAACCCGAATAAACTCTATATACACATGAAAATGACTGAGGATTGTTAATTAGGCCGGCATTATGTACGATCGATACTAATTTCAACGTTATATCGAAGAATTTTGTATAGAATCTCCCTATATAACGTTACGAAGAATTGAAGTAAATTAATACACTTACATAATATTAAATTACATTTTAAATAATTATCGACAGTAAATGAAACAGTTGGACACATTACACCGAAGATAATTATAACTATTTACCGTTTTCAGATTGTAAATTTAATGAAATATGGCAAAATATTGATTTAATTTCAAAACAGTAATTCGATCTAACTCGGGTCTTAGAATAAGGCAAGTTTCGCATTTCTAATTAGAGTTTCTTCTTATTAAATTTGCTCTACAGTTGATAAATATGAGATTTGATATAGTACAGAAGTTGCTTGAGAATTTTTCTTCTACTTAACACAATTTCACACACAGCAATTACTACTTTAATGATGCTTACTGCTGTAGTATCCAGATAGAGAAGAGGAGGATGAAGTGGAAAAAATATCTTAAAAACTCCATTCAAGAAAGCATAAAGCCTTTAATTTGTAGTTAAAAGGAGTTAAAGAGTATACAGAATCAATTTTCTACGTAGGCCTTAATGAGCTTCTTCTATTAAGGCCTATAGAAGAAGGCATTTACGTGTCTTTAAATTATAAAGCCTCAAAGGCAAATTTTTTATGTGGGCCATAATGAACAAAGCCTAAATGTAGACTTTTTCTAATATTAAGGCGTATGTATGAGAGGATGTGGAGAGAAAAGATTTTAAAAAGGTAGAATTTTTAACTTTAGTGTAAAGTATGAAGACCTTTAAAGCATACAAAGAGCATTCTATTAAGGCTTTATAGAACATACAAAACTTTGTATGTAGGTCTTAATGAACATGGTCTAAATATAGGCTTCTTCCACTTATATGAGAAGATGTAGTAAATAAAATACCTTAAAAATATCATCTCAGAAATCACTTAAATTATGGTTTAAAGCCTTTAAGTATATACAGAATCAGGCCTTAATGGAAAATGCTTTTCTATTATGATATATAGGGGGTGATTAATACGATAGGTGTTAAATATATGCACAATTTTGACTCTATTGACAACAAGAAACAAAACTTTCATGTCATTGTGCAGATTCTAAAGCTTTTAACGTAACACAAAAGTAATTCAAGGATTTAAAGCGATTTATGTGACGAAAGTGTTGGCCTTTAGAATGTGTAACTTATTCTAGAATAGAGGACGATCCAAACAGGAATTTGGTCATTGTGTAGAGTTATAGAACTGTTCTAGAAACAGATGTACAGAATGAGTCAAAGTTTCTCACAAAGTGTACGCCGGGTGCTTCGTTGAAGTCCTAACCAAACAGTAGCATACAGAACTTATCTACAGATCAAAATACCCGCTGAATTAATGAAAGAATCATCCTATAAACCCATAGAAGTCCATTAAGGGATAAAAGAATATGTTTTAAAATTATTTGCTTTTAATAGCTTATCATTATAGGGGGGTAGCAACTACCGCAAAACACGAAAATGAACCGAGGGGCACGACAAAATCAGATCCTGTTACTGAAAGACCAACAGCTAGAAAACTTCAAGAGCGGGTCAGTAAATCAATGCCACACAAAACGACCATGAACCTGACCTCAAACGGTCTTCAACTACATCGGGCGTGATTCTGTGTAATTGAAAGCGAAATTACTTGGCTTTTCCCAGGTGTTGCTCCCTAGATCTCAAGATAAAAGTGTTCGATGTTCCCCGACTCAACTATCTTTCTTTCTTTTGCACTTGTGAAAATTACTTCGACTGATAAAAAAGAAGTTTTTTCAACTTCGTCCCCCCCACACACACACACAAGAAGAAGAAGAAGAAAAAATTCCAAGTAGGTATTTCTCCTTTTGTTCCTTGAAGGTTAATGATTGTTATATTAATCTTCTACTTGCCAAATGGTAACGAGCTCAACTTCTTCATCAGTTTGGTTCTTCGTTTAAGTTGCAAGACAATGAGTAATGGTTTTCTATGGCAGGATACTATCGTTCTATAATATTCTTCCATCTTTGCTACCTCCCTACACTTGTAAATATCGAGTAATTCGATCTTTAGGCTAATTTTTCTACTGCTAAAATTCTCATTTTTGATGAAGATATC